TGTGTGTGTGAGAGAGAGAGGGAGAGAGAGAGAGAGAGAGAGAGAGAGAAAAAACGAGAGAGAGAGAGAGAGAGAGAGAGAGAGAGAGAGAGAGAGAGAGAAAACGAAAGAGAGAGAGAGAGAGAGTAGTTTTTTTCAGGCATACAAGCATATACTTAAAGACCGGGATAATAAAATGCCTGGCACTATACGGCTGTTCATTGGTAAAAAAAATGAAAGCTTATTAACAAGCTCTGTTGACTAGAACCTGTGCTTGGGGCCCTATTAAACTAACATTGTATGATAGATCCTAGCGCGTGGCCACGTGTTGAGGGCACATATAGCGAGGAAATCACACCAAGAGAGACAGAAACTTTCTGAAAGTCTAACAGTAAAACGACTAACAGACAATTGAATAAAAGAATTAACAAACAAACAAATACAATTAAACGGACAAATAGATAAATTAAATGAAAAATAGAAAAAATACAATATTCATAAAATTAAAATTAATCAGTGAATGTATCGAATAATTGATATTTTATTCAAAAGTTCACTCGGACAATTTCAGGAATACCCAATCTAGAAACTCACTTTTAATGTATCATTCTTCTGGAATTAAGGAATTACCGGAACATGTTAAAAAAGAATGCATTAATAAACAGATGAATCAGTAAACATATGCATACATCAATAAGTATCGGTCAGTCAGTAAACCAGTAACAAATAAATAAGAAATCAACACAGTTAACTATGAATTTAGTTACGACTCTGTAAACTACAGAACCGACCACAAGCAAAAATACCAATCTACATATAGGCCTACCATATTACGATAAATCTTAGCGCTAATGAGATATCCAGCTACCAACAAACAGGCCAGTTGCCCAATACTAACAGGAACTCGACAGAAATATGCCAACTCACTTAGTTCACTTCAAAAATGACCCAGAAATATATACCTATATTTAGGACGTATATAACCAAATAGAGAACCTATCTACACGAATTTAGAATGAAATGCTTAACAGGTCTTTTCTCTATGGTATGAAACAACAAGCCTAAGATGGCACGTGTCAAGTTAAGTCGGCCCAGCTTGTCTGGAAACACGTATTTAGACTATAGCCCCATTCACACGAGACACTTTCAATCGCGATTAGTGCCAAATCGCGATTCTATCGATGTAAAGCTTCTAGTGTGAACGCAGTAGAGACGTCAAATCGCGATTCAAATTAATCCTACTCGAGAGGTGGATTCTATCGATGTAAACTTAAATCGCGATATAAAATTTCCTAGTGAGAACGGGATCGATGTTAGCACCGGAAGTTGAGTTCTTAAGAGGCGTGCACAGTTTCTATCGAAAGTACAATATAATACAATACAATAAATTTTATTTCATGTCGGGTATAAATTGAAACGAAACATTAGCTAAATACAGCTATTCGCCGACTGGAAAGTAAAAGAAAACAAACTGTCCACGCAATTTCAAGTTTCTTCGCAGTCAGCAAAATGGCCAAGAGGACGTTCTGGTCTGAAAACTCAGTGGCAGCATAACTAAATATTTGGGCCGATGAAAGTATTAAATGGAAAATAACAACGTACAAACCGAAAGCATGGTCTTGAAGGCAGCTACTGCGCATGATCAACAGGATATACCGTGACTCCCCTAGCGAGCGCAGTTGCAATTACCAGATCTAGCTAGGTAAATCGCGATTTCGTTTTTACATGTCTGAACGCAAAAAAGTGAATTTAGCTAAGCGCGTTAGAATCGCGATTCCCTTAATCTCGATTAACCATGTAGGTGTGAATGGGGCTTTTGATTGATAACTAAATACAGTATGCTGATGTTAAATACCTGGAAAGTCATTTCTCCCATCTTGTTCTGAGATACGGCAAACTCTCTCGTCCTGGGTGGCAAGGGTCAAGGAAAACTTACCCTTTCAGATGTCCTAATAATAGGGATTCTACTGACCTCTGAAACTCAGGGTCATCGTCGGCTGTTTAAAATAACATTCAGACTTTCGGGGCGATAAAGGTAGTATCAATCTATCTGTGTGTGTGTGTGTGTGTGTCAGTGTTGACCTATCATCTCACTTACCCGGGTAGAAATCCAAAAACTTGGCCTTTGCCTTGCAGATCAGCTCCAAGCTCTGGTTCAGCTGCTGCAGGATCTGTTCAGGAGTTAGTGCATGTGTTACACCATCTGCCGTACGGCTGCCCATGATCCACAATACGTCCCGTTACGTTGAAAAGGGAAGGCTGAATGCAAGCGTTCACTTCAAATGTGCAACGTTAAACAATGTGTTAACACCGATATCGTTTATATCGGCCTCTTTCTCTCTCCCCGTTTTAGTTATTAAATCATTCTCCACTGAACAAATTAAATGCCATTTGACACACGATTACGTCAATGTATAATGGTTCTGTTTCTGCATCTTACCCACTTTTAATGGTTGGGGTCATAATATAACCTGATTTTCTTCATGCTGTGTGACTGTCAGCAACCAGTAGTTATCAGCCGTGAGTAGCGCAACCCAGCAATGAACTAGATCTTCATTTCAATCACTCCAAACGTACATCTAAAACAGGAATGTCCTCGTGATATCAACCAGGCGTACGATATATCTTATCATCCACAATGTGCTACCAGAACTTGAACTTTCTGTGCTACCTGTCAACAGAAGTTCGGGATAAGATATGTCCCTATGTTATATCGTGTTGCTTCTCATAACGTTCAATCTCGTTCTAGTAAGCGGAGTCAGAAGCCTTCCTCTTTAATAGCACGGCAGAGTTCACATAATATTAAGTGAACGCATTCCTGTTATACAGGATGTGTGCTGGCTCAGACCTGGGTCACACCAGCGAAGAAAAATTGAGAAGAGAAAGAAGACACACTTCCTGTTCACGGAGTAAAATGATGACAAAATGCCCCTCTGTCGCACAATGAGATCTGTAATTGTAACAGATACGTCAAGAATGCTGGCAATCACGTCCACTTTGATGTAGTTGTGTAACGGCGACAGTGGAATTTAAGCCTGCTGTGTATTTTTTTTCAAGGCCGCTTTTGCAACGGCCCACGTGGAGTTCAAATTATCACTTGCCCGTCTGTCCGTGAGTACTGCGCGACCGGATGTCCATTTAAGCGTTGAGGGGTTTTATCTATAAATAGAAATAATATATGTCATTTCTGCATGGACAAAACTATCATGGACACAATTATTTGATTAATGTCAGAGTCAACGATAGGTTATTGCCGGGAAAATTGGTAAATGTAACATACGTTGACAGACTACAGAAAAAAAAAAACTTGTGAAACAAACAGGTGACTTAAGTAGTTTCAGCGATAAAAATGGAGGACTTCATAAATAAAACTGACGAGGCACAGCCACGAGCCCTCATTATACTTCATACAACTCTCTCAATAAATTAGATTAAACGGCACTTATCCTATAGCTTCATCATTACGCAAGGATTCCATAACAATTTTAATACCCTAGGTGAACCAAGAACATTTAACACACGGTGGAAGCTAAACACTCATTTAAATACCAAGTGATTAGAGAAGGAAATGCCAACAACATATCCTTGTCCATGGAAGATTGATAACTTGCTATCTTGAAACTTTTCGTTACTGTTTCAACCGGACGAGAAGGTGACACACATGATGCAGTTTGCAGCCTCTAAACATCCTGCCCCCCCACCCCCCACCCCCCCCCCACCCCCAACCAATTGTGCATGTGTTCGGAGAACCAAACTTGGCCTTCTTGGCAGAACACCCAAAGGTTCTTGTCTGCATACCCTATTTTTTTCAAAGCAGAGACTGATGCATACCGCTTTTCGTGTTAGAACGTTTCTTGTCCAAATGCGAACGGGCACGTAGTAAATATTAAAACTTGTTTACAATTCCTGATCTAAAAAATAGGTCAAGGTTCAGACACATAATTGCGTTAGTTATCCAAGAAACAGATTTCCAGGATGGAGGAATTCCGTCTACCAACGTGCCCTAGGTAAGAGATGCCCGATGCTTTTATTGTCTTGGCTGGGTTGTAAAACCCTCATTAAACAGAGCAAACACCATTGCGAGCGTTATTAGCTGCTCTAATGTACCGGGTAATGATTTGACGCTTTTGGGCGAACTCACAGCTGTTAATTATAACGTCTACGGCCATCAATGGGATTAAAGGGCCATAAGGTACAACATGCATTGTCTTTTTGAGATAATTAAGAAATTTAAGTGGGCTGACGGAATAAACAGAAATGCGGTTAATTGAGGTAGGTATCAACGGCAGAACCTGCGGGGAGCTTTTCTTCCACCACACAGAAAAACAAGGAACGGAAAGGAATAAACTATATAACGAGCATCGCGTGACTATACCAATCAACATCTCCAATCCCGTGCTCTATATACCATTGTAAAAAATCATCTATGATTTAATATTTGCTGGCAATTTTATCCGTTTGCACTGCACCCCCCCCCCCCACCAAGAGGTGCTCATATAAACTACATGTATAATCACTTGTTATAAAACAAAATTGTATATGGAGAAAAGCAAAGTGTACGGTATTTCATAACAACACCTAATAAAATGTGTAGCGCTAATCAACTTAATTAATTACATTGAGCTCAATTGTCTGGTGAATGTTCTTGACAATAATTTCAATTAAATGGGGAGCATGACGTAGATAACCCAAAACGAGATGGTCGGCGCTGCGTGACGTCACACGATATAGGAAAGCTCGTGAGAATACGCGTGAGGTGGAGTAAAGATTGTATTGATAAGGATAAAACACTATGAGTCAGTGTCGAAATTAAAGCGTTTTACAAAATGACATGCAGACCATGCTGAATTTATTCCATTGTGCAATACTGTAATTCGACAACCTTTAAGGAAAACAATCATTCACTGTGTTAAAAATAAAGACGTAGATAAATTCTGTCAGCTTTTAATTTTTTGTCGAACAGCAACCATTTTAGTCTGCTGTTATCTGTAACCCTTGTTTCTTCTATTTTTTGCGAAACGCCGCTTGCATGTTAAGAACTATATAACGTATTTTTGTTGCAAGACACTTGCTAGTATGCCGTGATTGTTAACCACACATTTCCCCAGATGCTTCGAATCCTTGCCTGGAGAAGTAAATCTCGAAATCATGTACACGTTGCATAATCTACTCTCTACCCTTGTGGCCATTTTATTGATAAAGGAGTTCGCACCTCCCTCCCCCAGCAACGTGTTAGAAGCAATCATCATGGTGCGCTGCATAAAACTGTACAAAAGTGGATATAAAATGGAAAATGTTGAAAAGCCTTAGATGATCAAAACTCGGTCGTTGCTGTATTACCAGTGCAATGGCCATGAGAGTTAGAGCCCATTGAAGCGGTCCAGAATGAGAGGGGGGGGGGGGTCAGGGGGGTCCTGACCCCCCTCCCCCCTCCAGTCTCTGAAAAAATCACACTAATTTTCCCCTCTTGGAATCAGAATTTTGACAATAAGCTGAGTTAAAGCTCTAAGCCGTACCAAATGACTTTGTTCGCCCTCTAAAAAAAAAAAAAAATAATAATAATTGGGGGCCCTTCGGCGGGCCCCGAACCCCACGCCAATGAGGTGGGAGGGGGGTCGGCTTCGCATCCTCGGACTTCTCCCCTCCCCTTCAAAAAATCCTGAATCCACCCCTGTTGAGGTTGTTGGTGTTGGAACTGTATTATGTAAATTGCCTCAAACAATTTTACAGGTCTGTGGCCGTAGGACGCTGCAGGGACATTGGTCTATGAGTAAATTTATTTCATGTGTTATGAACCTGAAAGTCCCCCTTGACAGAGAGTCCGCTTCCCATTCATTTGTACAGTTGAGCCTCGCCCTAGATTTTGACCCACTTAGGTCAAACTAACCCTATCAATTATAGCTATATGGAGGGCGGACTTTCTGTCAAACAGACCGTCAGTTCCGTGACACCGGACGTACTATATCTGGGAGATAACAAATCTGTTGTCTCCGACCGATCTGCAATACCGTGTATTTCAGGGTAAATCATTTTCACAATCCGTTGGCAAGGCTCATAGAGACAATCGATGTGAATTTGGACACGACCTGGCACAAATTTATCTATTTATAAACAATTAGTTCCTCTCAAGAAAGACATTTTATATCTTAGTGCTCAGGCCCATTTATAGTGTGAAACCATGACTGCTCGGAGGACAGTAGGCGCGGTAGCCTATTTTGTTGTAATTTGGGGATTCGCCACACTTTGGTATCAGTATAATAGAATAGCATATCAGAGGAGCCGTGTTAAAACAAGGAGTTTTCAGATTGAGAATACTATGAGATATATAACAGATGGCCCCACGCCTAATCATACGGCCTTGGACACCCACTGTAAAGTCCCGCTGGATGTGTGCTCGGCGAAAATGGCGCCAGAATACTGGTACCACTTGAAGAAATACAGATACGTAGTAAACCAAGAATGCACTGCGGCAGACGACCCATATCTGCTAGTTTTGGTCATCTCGAACCCGCAAGATGTGAAAACGAGAGCTGCTTATCGCAAAACTTGCGGTAGTTGGAAGCAGTATCTTGGCAGACGAATCAAAACCATCTTTTTTCTTGGGAAAACCGGCTACAAAACAGTAGATGAAGATGCCGTAGCTGAAGGATTACATTATAAGGACACCGTTATAATCGATTTCGTCGATTCTTATAAAAATTACACGCTTAAGACTTTACTTGCTT